AATAACTTTCAAAACATATTGAATTTCAACTTTATGATGATTTATGACGATGACGATTATTATTATTATCATTATCACTGTAGCACGTCTAGCACTGCATCCTTGTTAAGCAGGATTTTATTTTGTTTATTAATATATGTACATATTTTTATAAATAGAATAAATTGAAGAAATTGTACGTATTTTTATAGATATAGATAGACAGATTAATATAGCTTTTTCTTAAATATTTTTATTATTGTATTGTGAAGGATTTACCGTGGATAAATAATGTTATCATATCATATCATGGCTTATCAATGTGACAGCAGTCTGTTGTTTGTCGGATCTCTTAGGGGTAAAAATTCGTGATTGGGAATCTTTTAGGGTACCAATTTTGAGTTTCTGGAAATTTGAAAGAGCGCATTGATATTGACTTTCCTCTGCGTATTGTTTTGTCTTGGATATTTTATATATTTTATCATTGGAACTGATTTAATTTAACAATTATATTTGTTGTGAAATCTTTTAGGGGTTAAAAGGGCTTGATTTGAAAAGTGATGTTTGCGTTGAGAGGAAAAGGTCATCTGTTCAGAGCAACAACTGAAACGATATTGCTCTATGGGTCTCTCACCTGGACCCTTTCTAAGCAAGAAGAAGCCCGCCTCGATGGCTGTTACATCCGTATGCTGCGGGTCGTCAAAATACACTGGAAGGCCAAAACACCAAATCATCTACTCTAGGGCAACCTCAAGCGGATTAGTGACATCATCCGTAGCAGGAGACTGAAGCTTGCAGGCCACTGTTTTCGGGACAAATCCAGTCCTGCTAACATTTTAGTTAACTGGACTCCCAAACACGGTGTCTCCAAACCTGGCCGCCCTCAGCTGACGTATGTGGACACTTTGATGAGGGACACTGGCACAGAAACCACACAAAAACTAGAGTCACTCATGGCCGTGATCAGTGGAGCTTTCGGTGTAGTGTCGCTTCCTTTGGAACCAACAAAAAGTAAGTAAGTGAAGTAAGTCGCATTTTTTAATATATTTTATTTAGTATCTGATTTCGACTTCAAGAAAGTTTTATCCTTAGCTTCAATATAAATGGTAATTCTATGTGGAGAACTTTAGCAAATTAGAAGCATCTTTTGCGAAGCGAGCGAGTTAAAAGTTAAAAAAGTCAAAATTTGGTTTGATAAGTTTTGATCCACCTTTTAAGTTCTTAAAAGAACTTCAATCTAAGAGTTTTAGAATTATTACAGTCTTAGAATGCATATTCATGAAGTATTCAGGATAGCTGTATAGTTCATGTATAGGTTATATAGTTTTAATGCGCAATAGTCTCCTTCACGGTTACCTGCGCCATCTTGAAAGGTAGCCGCGCCTTCACATGGAAGCGAGACAACCGTTGAGGGTGCAATGATAGATACCTGTGAATAATTATCTGTAGGTGTGAAAGAAAGTTTCTATCATTGCAGGTTCAACGTTCGTCACGTATCGATGCAAAGCCCTGGCCACATTTCAGGATGGCGCAGGCAACCGTAAAGGAGAGGATTGATAATTCCTATTGAAATTGCGCAATATATATAAATTAATAAAATTATTATTATAATTGTCTATGAAATACCTCTATTGTAGTTCCATTATATAATGACATCAAAAACCTCTT